CCCTTTTGTGTTGTCTTGTGTTTCAGAGGATGGATCTTGGAGAATGTCTGAAGGTGCATGATTTGGCGTTAAGAGCAGATTATGAAATTGCATCAAAAGAGCAAGACTTTTTCTTTGAACTTGATGTATGTTCTATCACCAAATTATCTTTGTATTATAAAGAATGGAAAGAGAATTGGTAGTGCTAACATCTGGTCAAATTGTGCATTATTGTAGAATATTTAATATAGAATTAATTTAAAATTTCTGACAGTTATTAATAAAGTATGAAATTATTTGAAGCTGAAGTGAGAAAGGTGTTTCATTTGAAATTAAAGTGATAAAGGGCTTCAGATTTGCACATCTTAGTACCTTGAAGAAGCCATGCATTTTCCTAGTGTGACATGGTAGTTACACTGTTCCACTTCTTCTAACTAATTAGGGAAAAAAGTGGAACACACGCTAAGGCCAGTAGATTGCACAATAAAAATCACAAACCTTTTCTATAATAAAAAGCTGCCCAGAGTCCCTTTATCAGAGAGACGGGCATCATATAATTTTAGTAAAGATTTTACATGTACACACACATACAGAGAGAGAGAGAGAGAGAGAGAGAGAGAGAGAGAGAGAGAGAGAGAAGGGGAGTTGAAACATTGTTGAATACAGAGCCTTCGGATTTTTACAGTAGATTTTCTGAAACCATCAAATTATAGCTAATTTCTTAGGATATTTGAATAACTTGAATCTTCGGAATGTGAAATCTTCATTCCCATTTTTGTTTTATTTTAATTTCTGTTAACTTGCCAGTTCTAAATCTGTGATATATGCAACTCTCCTCAAAATGATTGTTCTCATCTGTTTGATCGAACATTTGTGAATACAAGTGTTGATGTGATTATTACCTTGAAAGTAAGAATTCATGGTCTCAGTTTTATTTGTTTTACAATCTTCCAGAAAAGTATTAAATATAATTAAACCAGCAGTTTATACATTATTTAATATGTATAATTTAATTCTACTGTTAATTTTTGCATTGTGAAAAAATGCTTATTTACAGTACAGTATGATACTTTTCTGATTTATATGTTAGGCGATGGATCACCTGCAATCATTCATTGCTGACTGTGATAGGAAAACTGAAGTGTCAAAGAAAAGACTGGCTGAAACTCAAGAAGAGATCAGTGCTGAAGTTGCAGCCAAAGTAAGTACTTAATATTCACTTACTACAGGGCTTTCCCTAAGGACTTCTAACTTGGTTTTATATATAGCATTATATTTATATAGAAGAATTTTGGACGTCCCATTTTATATCAAATTAGTGGGTAACAAAAGACAATATGCACAAAACTATGCACAGATTTTTCATAGCTGAGCAAAAAGACTTGGTGATTTTGATTTTTAGTTTTGTGTAAAACTATATGTATGTGTATGCATACATATATATGCCTACATGTACATATTTGTGCATTACAAGGGTTTTTGAATTGAATTTAAAATGGGATATATTGGTGTGTAGCAGTGAATGCAAAATTCCAAATTATTTTTTTTTCTTGTCTATAAGAAGAAGCAGTTGAATATAGCTTCTTTTTGCCTGTCTGTAGGAATAAACACTTTAGTGCCTTGAAATTACAACTCTCAGTCCATTGCTACTGACTTGGTTGGCTGGGGCTGTTGAAGTTTGAACTTTTGAAGGACACTAATTACCCATCTATCTTAGTGATATGAAGATGCTTTTGTCTATAAAAATTAACATGAGCAGGAATGAAAAAATTCCCATGCCACAGTTATATTTATTGAATATTAATTCATTTTCAGTATTGAACATTTTGAAATGTTCCTTTTTCATATTCAAGTACTATAAGCAACATATATAAACATTTCTATTTATTATTGTTCAAAATCTGCATAGAGCATTCATAGCATAATAGGCTAGAGTACCCTGGAAAAGGGAATGGCTAGCTGAACAGAAGCACTTCATCCTGCAGTGTCTTATTGCTTTATATTGATATGGCTTCTACATAGTGAACATTAGTAATATTAACAAGTGTAAATATTGCTTTTCTCTCTGAAAGGCTGAACGAGTCCATGAATTAAATGAGGAAATAGGAAAACTGCTTGCTAAAGTTGAACAACTTGGAGCTGATGGAAATGTGGAAGAGTCTCAGAAAGTAATGGATGAAGTAGAGAAAGCAAGGGCAAAGAAAAGAGAAGCAGAGGTAATCTGATTATGTACAAAAGTATATTCTTTCAGTTAGTCCTGGAAGGACAATTTTTTATTCATAGAGTTGATAACTAAAAGAATATTTAAACTATATTCTTTGTTCTCAAAATGTCAGTAAATACACATGCACACACACACATCAACTGTTTATTTATTTATTTATGGCTCATCTCAAGTTTTTTATTAGGCACAATGAACTTGTGCTACTTCTTTCCCTTTATGAAGCCTAGCACATAGAGAAAGGAATCCCTCTACATGTCAGAATATTTCCTTAATCTGATTCTGGTAAACTATCACTAATTATATCCTTGAGCAAAATTCCTTGGTACCAGAAGGATTAAAACATTCATAAAAAGATGGAACATACTCAGTGGTTTTCATTCACCACAAAATATTATTTCAATTGGGAAATACATTTTTAAAGGGGAGAGAGGGAGAAAATAGTACAGATGAATAGCCTGCTATAATCCCTTTAATTTACAGTATATTTACTGTACTATCCTGAACAAGAACTTTTCTGTTTAGAAGAATTTTGCTTATTTACAGATATCAGTTATTACTCTTATAATACCTTCTATTTGTTTCATTTTAATCAGGAAAACAAACACATAACACATTCAAGGGGCCAAATCAATCAGCTATTGTTGATTCTGTACTTATTAAGGATGTAGGTTGTTCATAGCTTAAGAGACATATTTTGATGCGTCTTCTAGGAAGTGTACCGGAATTCCATGCCTGCTTCCAGTTTCCAGCAGCAAAAGCTACGGGTCTGTGAAGTATGCTCAGCCTATCTTGGCCTACATGACAATGACCGGCGACTTGCTGATCATTTTGGAGGAAAATTGCACTTGGGTTTTATTGAAATAAGAGAAAAGCTTGAAGAACTAAGGGTAAGTTTATATTGCTCTTTTCCAGCAGTTGTTAATTATCAGACTACTTCAGTAATGTCCTGTTGAAATTAATATAATGCAGTTGAAAAAGAGGAGCTTCCTCAAAAAACCCCCAGTATAAATAGTCCTTTACTGTCTTTCAAACAAGAAATGGACTTAAATTTGTATTTGTGACTAAGCCAGGGGTGTAGAAGTGTACTTCCAAAAGTGATGACATATACTACATTCATAATGTTAATAACATGGCCTGTCAGTTTTGCATCATCATTTGAGTATTCTCTTCAAAGAGTCACATTCTTCAGCATTAAGAAAGATATTGTATGTAGTAAAGATATGCAATGGTTTCACACTCTAAATACTATATTTGAGTGCAAAGTATCCTATTTCAAAATTTGAACATTTTGGATATATCTAAAGAGTGCCCAGCGTTACATGTCTATGAGCCAAGAAGTGGAATTAAAGAGCTTGGATGTTGGATTAGAACCAGACCTTCAAGTCTATTCCCAATATTGAATCTCAAAGAGTTGTAGGGAAAAATGGGAAACCGGAGTACTATCTTGAGTTGCTAAAGGGAAGGTTCTGAGCAGATTATAATCCTTACAAAGATTGAAAGAGTAAATGTAAACAAATAACCAAAATACAAATTGTCTCTTGTCATTCAAATCAAACTTAGTAGCAGAGGATTGGAAGGGTATATCTAGTCCAGTGGTGGCGAACCTATGGCA